TTTTTTCTTCACCTATTCACGGACAAAGGATAAATCTCACATTTACGTTATAGAAAACATTTATTTTCTTCTTTTCTCAGTTGTTTGAGCTGTTTTAATACAGTTCAGAAACCCTGTGTCTTTGGGGATCCAAGTGTCTCAATACCAACATCTGTATCACTCAGTGCTTATAGAGCCACATTTTGGTTTCATTCAAGGAATTTCCTAAAGTATATATCAGCTGTGGCAGAAGCACATACATACCAGTTAATCCAAAGGCTTATCCATTGACTGGTAGGCTCTCTCCTGGCAGCTAACTCACAGATGTTTCAGAGTTGGTACTCAGGACAGAGGTCCCAAGTTGCTGCCCTGGCTGAAAGCAGGCTGTATCACTGTCTGTCTCTCAGCACTTATTAACTGGTCATTGGCCTGTTACTGTTAATGTTAGCCCTCTCTAGATATGGGGCTGCTGTCCTTACCCAGAATATTTTGAATAGACTGAAGTGGCCTCAGAAGAGTTGTTTCTATTTTCACATACCTAGTGGAAAATCCTAGTGGATTTTCAAAAATGATTGTGATAAAACAGAGTACCAGAAAGAGGTGTGGCCATTCAGACTCCATTTGGGGTGTCACCAAACTTTTAAAAATGTTACTATTTCGTGATCTTAAGTTCTCCAAACTGATAAACTTATACCAAATAAAACTGTAACATAATGTTATAAAATAAAATTTTATGGGGTACCTGTTCTTGTATTTGAAATGTGTTTTTAATATATCCAGTTTTTCTTTGTGAGTGTAAGTTGCTATTTTCTAAGATTTTGATGTTAACGTGTTTTATGAAATGAATGTGTAATTTTAGTATCCTTATCCTGACAAAATAAGTTAGCACCTATGTTGGTTCTGAAAGTTTTTTTCCAAAGACTTTATCTTTTTAGTTCAGTTTTAGGTTCACATCAAAATGGAAAGACAACCAGAGATTTGCCATCTTCCCCGGCCCCACACATGCCTAGCCTCCCACATTATCAACATTGTCTCACTAGGGTGGTACATCTGTTATAAATGTAAACCTTCATTGCCACATCATTATCACCTAAATCTGTAGTTTATTTTATATTAGGGTTCACTCCTGGTGGTGTATATTCTGCAGGTGTGGAGGTGTGGACAAATGTACAACATGTATCCACCATTAAAGTGTCTTACAGAATAGTTTCACTGCCCTAAGAACCGTCTGTGCTCTGTCTTGAAAGTTTTAAAATTTAACTATTTTGGTGAAATCCCAGTCTTAAGAAACCACAGTAGAAATGTTCAGCACAGTATCACCTAATATAAAGTTGCATTCTCATTGGAACACTGGAGAAACTACTTTCTAAAGTCAGTCAGTGGGAATCAGCAAATACCTGATGTTTTTAGTAGAGCTGAGTGACTATACACAGCTTTTGCAATTGTCTTGAATTAGCTAACAGGCACTGACGTTTTTTAGGTTGGTGAGGGTTAGCTACTTTCCTACAATCTCTGTATCAAGTTAGGAAAAAAAAATGCAAGCTCAGATCAAATTTTTCACATACAGATTTCAATAAACAGTTTTTATCAAGCATCCAGAAAAGTTTATGTAAGCTGTTCTTAAGCTCAGTGAAGCCCTACTTATGGTTTGGTAAGTTTCCCACCACTCTGGATGAAAGGTCCACTTCAGGCAGGCTTGACAATAGTCCAATGAGAGGATTGTCCTACCCCAATCAGCAACAGTAACCAGAAATTCTTGCATGGAATGGCAGGAGGCATGACCATTTAGGAATCAAGCCTCAGCACAGGCCACAGACCTTCCTAAATTTTAATTTCCCTTTCATCCAAAGATGAGGAATTACTCTGAAACAATTTAGTCAGTTCATACAATTCTGAATACCTCTAGTTTTAACAATGAGAGTATTTTAAAACGAAAACCTACTTTACAATTTGCTGATTATCAAAACCTCTGGCAGTGACTGAGATAGGCTATCAGAAGCACCTGTAACCTTTGCCTGTGGCACTTCTAATTAGCACACTAGCTGTGCTAGAGGGAAATCTCTTTAGACCTACTGAGTATCCCTGCCTGTAACCTGACACGCATATGAAAGCATTCTGCCCATTTGAAAGAGGAAGAAAGCAAATTGTAAAAGTTGGGAAAAGAAAAAATGCTACACGATTTCTCAGGACCCGATTGATATTATTTCAGGTAGGAACAAGGGACAAGCAGCATGAAGACAGGGAAGAAGGAAGTCTTCATGGTTCTGAAAAATTTTCCCTGCCCCCGCAGACTGCTGGGAATGCCACATGCTGCTCTTCTGGCAATAACTGATTTTTATTAGGGCTCATTGAAAAGACCACAGAAATCCTGTGGTGGCTTATAAAAATGTGTTATAAGCCTTATTTTTTGTTAAAAAATCATAATTTAACAGAGCATTTTATTTATTTGTTTTTATTTTATTTTTGAGACAGAGTCTCACTGTATCACCCTTGGTAGAGTGCCATGGTGTCATAGCTCACAGCAACCTCCAACTCTTGGGCTTAAGTGATTCTCTTGCCTCAGCCTCCCAAGTGGCTGGGACTACAGGGACTCACCACAATGCCCAGTAATTTTTTTTGTTGCAGTTATTGTTGTTTAGCAGGCCTGGGCCAGGTTGAACCTGCCTCCCTTGTTGTATGTGGCTGGCATCCTAACCACTGAGCTACAGGCACTAAGTCCAATATTATTATTTTTGAAGCATTTCATCAATTCTAGGTGGAAGTACTACATCATCAAATGTGAAACAGATTGAAGATAGAAAAAGAATTACCTACCCATTCATAGTGAGCACAATCTTATTGAATAGAAAATGAGATAAATTTCAAGAAGGCAAAACTAAAACTCTTAAAAGTAAGATTGTGTTTTTCCGTTACCTATGCAATGAATCTGAAGGAGCACCCGAGGTCTCCTGCTTTGCCTTCAGAAGCATGCCCCTAGTGGTCTTTCTTGGCAAATAAAACAAAGTACTAGTAAAAATTCCAGGCTCAAATAGAATGCACATAAAGAAGAAATTCTTTATTAAATCAGTACCTTGATGTCAGGGCAATGTAGAAACAATTCATTACATTCTGAATTCTAAATAGCTAAAGACATGCAGCTAAAATGAGAGGTTTATTTATTTATATTTTGAGACAGAATTTCACTGTGTTGCCTTCGGTAGAGTGCTGAGGCATCACAGCTCACAGCAACCTCAAACTATTGGGCTTAAGGGATTCTCTGGCCTCAGCCTCCCAAGTAGCTGGGACTACAGGTGACCGCCACAACGCCCAGTTATTTTTTCATTGCAGTTGTCATTGTTGCTTAAGCTGGCCCTGCCTGGGTTCAAACCCACCAGCCTCGGTGTATGTGGCTGGCACCCTACCCACTGAACTGTGGGTGCTGCCCTAAAATGACAGTTTTAAATTTGTGAAAATGTCTATCCTTACTCAACTGATTAATATGCACTTTAAATTCTTTATAGACTTAACTTAATAAATGTTGAATCAAAACAAATTTAGACCTAATTAGAATTAAATAGTGACTAATAAGATCCTAAAAGTAGAAATTCTTTCACCTAACAAATGGTTACTGAATACTTATAAACTAGGCATTGTTCTTGCTACTGTATACACCAGTGAAGCAAAATTACCCCATTTCCAATTTATAGGAAAACTGTAGTCCCTAAATGTTGACTGAGTAGATATTTTCATAATTATATTAGTTGATTTGTTCTGTTTTGGTGTTTATCTAAATGAAAAAATATTTTAACATTTCATAGATTCCATTTACTTCTTGAACACCAACACTTCACTAAATTCCTACTTTTGAGGCAGTTGGTTATCCAGAGATTGCTAGAGACTGACTAATTATCAGATACTGACCCTGGCTACAAACTGTTCAAGTGCCTGGGAAGCGGTGCCCACCACTGTTCTGGAATAACATATTTTGCTGCAACACTCTTCAAACTATTTTCCTCTAAATACTTACATGACCTATTTTAAGGTATGACATTTCAAATATATCCTTACATTTTGATAATTATCAAGGAGGGGTTCTCAACAATCAATAGTTTGGGTACTTTTATTTGGGGAAGGGTGTGTTCACAATGACTGGCATTAGTGAGTAAGGGCCGAATCCTGCAGTGGGATGACAGTCTTTTACCATAAAGAACTGTCCCACCCAAAGCTAATAGTGCCTATCCATGTAGAGACACTGAGCTGTTGTCACCTGGTACAGTAACAAACACAGAAACTTCATTTTAGTCACATAGCCAGATAATTTGTTATTTTATTAAATACAAAAAATAGTTATATGCTCCAAAAATTATTTCAGTGAAAACTACATACAAAAGTACAAAATAATATGCTTTTCTACACCTTGATTTAGTTAAGAAACTTACAGGCAAATGGAAGGTATCAGTACTATTGCTATGAAGAGTTTTGAGAACCAAGAAAATCTGTAACTCTGCAGACTGTTTTACATCATGTTCATAGATTTCTTCAAATGATATGCTTTAAAAATAAATCATATAAGGAATTGCTCAGACTTGGTGATGTCTCAATTTCAGAATGTCAGCCAAAAAAAAAAAAAATCACATGTAAAAGCAATCACCTCAATGCAATTAAATGCTTTTGGTTTGTTCCAAACATTAAGATGTGGGAGAAAAAAGAAAAAGAAAAAGACGTGGGAGAATTTCCTGGCTACAGCTTGTTAAAATCCAGATTGCTAGCCTTATCCCCAAGAGTTTCTTACAAGTTTGTAAGTAGTTCCGATGCTGCTGGTCTGGCCAGAATATTTTGAGAACCAATGCTTTAAGATCTAGTCTCCAGAATTTGAACTACTAAGTAATGCTAATATACCTTTGCTATTTCTAACGGTAAATAAATAAAAGAACATTTCAGATATGGCTTCAATAAACTCTTGAAATGTTCTACTGAAATATGCATCTCCAGCTTACAAAGATTCCCATGAGTTCAAAAGACAGAACCAGAGGACAGTCCAATTCTATGGACTACATAAAAACATTTATTTTACAAAATACACTGCAACTGGTAGGGTACAGGGACCTTGCTCCTATCCTCTCATGCTTCTTCTCTATAGAAATCCAGTAAATTATAAAAAGTACTGTACTCAGAATGAGAACTTAACCTGTCATGAATGTACACATAAAATATCACAGTGAATTATCATATTCAAGACTCAGATTCAGGAACTACTTCATCAGGGCAGCAGTAATATTCCACAAAACATATTTGTCCATCTTCATTTCTAATCATATACTGCAGTGAAAGGAAGCCTCGGTTATCTGTCCGAATAGATACCTTACAAGATAGAACTAATGCCTTTGTAGATGGTTTCAGAAGAGAAATCTTGTATCTGTAGAAAAGTAAATACAAAGCTGTTATTTTGACATGCTTTGCACTATATTCATAATTCCAAATGAAGGACAAAAAATAGCCAAGGACTACCAAGCAGCAAATAGAAGAATAAAATCAAGTGCTTATCCAATTTGCTAATATTTTCTCTTGATTTCTTAAAAAAATTCATCCACTATTACAACTCCAATCCCCAAGTAAGTCTTGTACTCTACTGTGCATTTTTTTAAATGCTGCATGTTTTATTAACAGATTAAACATTTTTAAAAATTTTACTTAACAGAAATTTGGTGTTTAACCTCACCTTCATCACCTGTGGTAATCTCTATATTAAGTACTGACCTGTTGACTTGTGTCTCATTACAATGAAATGCTTCCATCAAATCAGAATCTTTGGGATAGTCAAGATGGGAACTTCCTGCATTTCCAAAAGTAGATAACCTATAGAGAATGGGCAACTTATTTATTTATTGGTCCAATAATAAGCCACATTAGAATGCAAATAATACACTTTCTTAAGAAGCTCATTTGGTAAATCAGCGGTTCTCAACCTGTGGGTCATGACCCCTTTGTAACAATGAAAATACATCCTGGCATTAGGAAGGTTGAGAACCACTGTGGTAGATGAAACAGACGTATAAACAAATGTTTACAGTATACTTTAATGAGTACCTTAACAAAAGTTCCCACAAGATGCTGGGGTGGAGGGGTGAGTACAGGGCAACTAGCAGTCAACAGGTGGACTTCACCATGTCCAGCTAGTTTTTTAAACATTTGTTGAGATGGGGGTCTTACTATATTGCCCAGGCTAGTCTGAAATTCCTGGCTTCAAGTCTTCCTCCTGCCTTGTCCTCCCAAAGTGTTGGGAATTAGAGGATTGAGCTATCACCCATCCTGATTTCTACTTTGATTAATATTTTAATACACCTTGAGGCAAATTTTTAATGGCTTACTGCCATGAGAAGAGCCTGTAATTCTTCTAAAGTAGATATAAAAAGAACTTTTACTGCATGTGAATTTAGCTCCTTTATTCTTTAATACTCTGAAATATTTCAAAAAAAAAAGAAGAAACATTTAGATCCCCTCTCCAAATTGTTAAAAATCTCTAAATTGATTCTAATCCAGAAAAGAGGCTAGTCATTTTATAATCTGTTGACTCAAAATATCAGGAGCAGCTTTATAGCTCTGACATTGTATTCCTGCTGAAAGTTGCCCTCCCTTAGGAAGCTGACCTTGACCAGTCCTCCCTAAGTACTCATATAATGTTTCCTAAGCATCCCTGTGCATAATTATGGTACTTCATGGCTATCAATTTTGTTCCTTCTCTGCTGTTTCACATTCTCCTCACCTAGATTTTAAGCTGTTCCTCCCATGGTGCTTAATAAGATGGACATGCACACAATAGGTGATCAATAGATACTTAGTGAATTAACATATAAAAAATATCTACTTCTTTTGCATCCAAAACTAACCTGAAAGAGAAAAAGATACCATATAATACCTCTTCAAAATGTTTAAGACCATTTTCCTCATAATGTAGCCTGAGCTACAACAATTAGTAATACAACAATGAAAAGACCATTAGTTTATGAAACCAACAGTACCTAACTGGGAAATCCTAAAGAGTTAATTCTCCTAGGGCTTAAATTTCATAATTTGTAAAATTCTAAGGTAAGAATACAAACTCTCTATAAAGTTCTGAGAATTCTAGGAACCTGGATAGTAAAAATTCTGTATCCTTAGCTGATGTGTAAGGGAGATGGAATACAGGCCACATTAACTATAGATACACTGCTCTCAAGTACCTGAAGTAAGGCTTTTCAGGAGACATGGTTATCTGGAGGACCTCACTCGTCATATCCAGTTCGGAAAAGGCTTCACGGAGCCCCTCTGACTGCAGGATAATTTTATTAATAACATTGGTACTACAGAAATCAAAGTCCAGAGTCTCCACTGGCTCCTGAGTATTGATTTTGCAGACTGTTACCACTCCTCCTTCTTCCAGAAACAGCATCAAAGGATAACCATAATCCTGGTAACACATCCGAAGGGCAGTTAAAGTCCCTGCAGCAATGCAAGAAATGATGCTTTGGGCTTAGCTCATCTCAAAACGATACAATACATAAAATTTCTCAAGAATAATTTCTTCTGCTTCATTTCCAGCATGTATGTATCTCCTTATAAGAAGGGATTACGTTTTCTCTGATGACAGTTGTGTGTAGACAATTCCAAAAATAACATCAGGAAAACTGGGAACCAGTTACAATAAATGTAACCTTCTAGAATCATATGCAGCTTGTCAAAAACACCTCAGAAATAGCTTGATTTTATACCTAAGCAATTTCAGAATGGAGAATCTGCATTGAGCAACACAGCAAATAACAACACAAATGTTGTAGAATAGGGTATGCTACTCCTTGAAGACTCAATTTGTGCAACAGCGTACTGCTTTGATATTGTCTATAACATCAGTGTATTCACTATAAGGATTCTTCCAACCTTTTCTTCTGGGAGCTATTTTTTATATTTTCTTGAATTTTAAGATCAAGTTGAGAAAAAGAGTGGTGATGTGAATTTTAACACTGGAAACACTAGAGGGAAGGAAGAACATGATAGGATATTTGAGGTCCTTCTCATTACTCGATGGAGAGCCACAGTCAAGAAAGGAAGGCAGCAGATAATTCTCAGCTGGGGAACACTGTATCAGAAAATATGTAATTAAAAATAGTAGATTTACCAATGCAAAATTAAAATATATTTTTCCGGAGAACTATAACTGAATTTTCCCTAGCTAATCTCCTGGTTGCTTTCCTGGGAAAGAAAATCATTCTTATAAGGATTCATTGTAGTTTTATATCCATAGCACCTGAATTTCATCACTCATAAAAATAATTCCCTAAACAAATAAAAAATATATGTTTTAAAGGAAATCATTTGGGAAAATAGACAATTTATAAACAGGGCTAGAAAAAAAGCAAAATTTAAACACAGTAAACTGGGAGTCAGGACATCTGGCTTCTGCTTTTCTCTGCTATTAACTATTGATAGCCGAGAAATTCTGGATAAGTTAGGGAAAATAATTAAAACATATTTCATAATGTTAAAGATATTTAAGACATGTCCAAACTATTCTTTTGGTTAGTTAAAATTTAAAATCCCAAAAGCTTTGTAAATTAAAAAAAAGCTGACTATAAATACTTCTAAAAATATGAGAAGAACTATATACACTTTTAATTAATACTATGAAACATCAGACTCCATGATGCTGACCACTGAAAACTGAATTGGCAATTTTCTAAAGTATGTTTATATCCCAGGGCGGTCCTGTGGCTCAAGGGAGTAGGGCGCCGGCCCCATATACTGGAAGTAGCGGGTTCAAACCCAGCCCCCGCCAAAAACTGCAAAACAAAAGAAATGTTTATATTCCAAATAAGATCCTGTATTCTTCTGACCATTATGTATAATGCTTTTATGTCTTTAAAATGGTAAAGTGGTTTACCTGGTGTAGGACTTGATCCAAAAATAGATAAACAGTCTAAAAGGACGGTTAAATTAATTCGAAAAGTAATAGATTCTTCCTGAACTGTAAACTCTTGAAATATTCCAGCCTATGAGAAAAGCAAACATGAAATTGTGGTTGGATATATTAAAGATGAAAACACGTAAGTTCTAGATTTTGCTTTATATGTTTTTAAAATAATAATACTGTGTTAATTCTGTGAGAATCATTTCTAATTACCAATCAAAACCTCTTAGTTTTATCCATTAGAACAGTACTCCTGAATAGTTGAAGATGTAGCAGAGATTCAAGCCCCATACAAAACCTTGTGAACGATGTTCATCTCTACTCCTGGATCTAAAACTTTTCCCTACATGACTTTCCCTTGTGTCCTTTTTGTGCCCATCTATAAAACAAAGAATTTTATGATGCATGTGTGTATTAGTTTTCAATTTCTATTGAGGACAAGAACCATGTCTTATTTATCCCTGCATTCCTGAGGTCATACTGTGCAGTTAGCACCAGGGACCATTTTCATGGAAGACTATTTTTCCATGGACTGGAGCAGGGGTACGGGGATAGTTTCAGGATGATTTAAGTACATTACATTTATTGTGTACTTTATTTCTATTATGTATTATATTGCAATACATACTGAAATAATTATATAACTTACCATAATACAGAATCAGCAGGAGCCCTGAGTTTGTTTCCCTCCAACTTGATCATCCCATTTTGGGGTGTTGGGAGAGAGTGACACTCAAAGTGTATTGCTTATGTCCTCACCTCTACCTCAGATCATCAGGAATCAGATTCTCCCAAGGAGCACAGCCTAGATCCCTCACCCATACCGTTTACAGTTGAGTTTGTGCTCCTATGAGAATCTAATGCTGCCACTGACCTGACAAGAGGTGGAGCTCAGGGGTGATGTGAGCATGGAGGGGCGGCTGTAAACACAGAGGAAGCTTCACTTGCTGGCCTCCTGCTCATCTGCTGGGAGGGGTTTCTAATAGGCTGTGGACCTGTGTGGGTCTGTGGCTGGAAGGTTGCAGGCCACAGACCCACACAGTGTATCTAAGTTGCAGCACTTAGTGGAAAAAATGCAGAATTGAAATCTGAAATCTTATCTGAACCATACAAGTATTTTTTTGTAACAACAAAGAGATTCTCTATTACAATCAAAAAGAGGAAAAGTGCTTTTTAATTACAGGTAGGTAGTAACAACATAGTGGTAAGGAGCATATATTCTGGACACAAATGTTCTGGGTTCTCATCCCACTCGGCCATTTACCAGTTAGCAGACTGCTGGCAAATCACTTACACTGTGCCTCGTTTCTACATATGTAAAAATGGGAATAAAAGCAGAATCAACCTCATAGGACTCTTGTGAAGATTAAACACTAAGAGGAATGTCTAGCCTATAGTTTAACCTAATAAGCTTTAGTCGACATTATTATTACATTAAACATTATTTCTGTAAAATATGATGGGAAAGGGATTTGTTACCAGGAGGGAAAAGAATTCAAATAATGACATTTTGCTCTGTAATTTAAATTACGTTTAAGATCTTCAGAATTTATTAAACTGTGTAAAGAATAGCAAATGTCACAGGCTTAAAGGTGCCTACTTCCATACCTGAATAAAAGCATTTGCTTGCACACACTTTGCATTTTCGACGGTAACCTTAATTCCATTTTTAGTGGCGAAACACGTGGCATAGTCTTGGAAATGAATAGCTTTCAAGATAGTGGAGAGATTCCTGACGTTGTCAAGGCTGGCCACTAAGCTGTACTGATCATTCTCATCTTCGATATGCTGGGTTAGGAGAGGCATCGTCCCCTGCACGTTCGGGCCCGAGCGGTGCTCCCGGGGCTAACAACTGCTCCCACGGATGACGAAACACCTGACAAGATTCGACAATAACCCCCTGTCAATGCCAGGGAGGTTCGGGCCTCCACTTACGTTGAGGCGGTGTAAGGCGGCGTTGAACTCGGTCGACCGGGCCAGTCCCACCTGGGCCACTTTAACTCCCTGTATAACTTTGGGGGAAATTATTTCTCTCTTTAAGGTACGGTTTCCTCGTTTTCAGTATGGAGACAGTAACAGGTGAAAAGCTGTGACGAATGCAAATAGGCAACTGATGCGGTAGTTCACTTGGGCAGTTTCTCCACGTCAACCGGGAGCTACCAACGCGCCACCACCCCAGCCTCCAACACTGCTGGCGATGAGGGCGGGCCTGACGCCTTGCAAAGTCCTCTAAGTGTCCCCGATAACCCCACTCCCCGGCCCGCCCGCAGACCCCCGGTGCGGACACCCTACGTTTGCGGTGGCGTCTGGACGCCCGAGAGCCAGTCCCAGCCAAGTCCTTGAGGGGTGTCCTGTAATTACCAGAAAACCGCCAGGGAAGCGGAGAAAGTCCCGCCACTCCTCTCAGATCGGCCCTCCGGCTCGGCCACCGTCACCACAGAGTTGGAGGAAGCCTAGAGCGCCGCGCGTGCAGTACCACCGAGACCGGAAAAAGGCACCATAGAGGGGAGGCCGCCGCAGAGCGGAAGGAAGAGCGCGCGGCAGAGCCGGAAGTAGGCCCTGAACGCGGGCGCCGAAGCAAGATGGCGGGAACCAAGAGGAAGCGGCGTGGAGGCCTGGTGGTTCAGGCAAAGAAGCCAAAAAGAAACGAAAAAGATGCCAGGCCTCCAGATGAGCGGCGCGTTGCCGAGGAGGAAGTGGAGGAGGAAGAGAGAGACCGTATCCCAGGCCCCGTTTGCAAGGTAGAAGGGGCTACTTCTGGGTTTCTCTTGCAACGCGGCTTCATGCTAGTTTACTGGGACTAAGTACCTGACTACACTTCTGTTAATTTCAGGGTTGCTCGAATGTGACCAGAAATAGGTCTCAGCAGTTCTCCCTGCTGAACTAAGGACCGTGTTTACATCTAATCTTCGTGCACGGCCGCACTCCTGGAGGTGCCGAGTTCACAGGGAAGCGATTGAGGGGGTGGGGGTACTGAACGCTAGAGTGAAACTCAAAATATTTATAAATTGACGGTTTTTATTCGAAACAAGGTGAACACAAGTTATTGGAGTTAAGTTTTTAAGCTATACAGAATGCTGTGGGTTCCGTGGAAGGATACCCTTTGCTTCATTGATTTTTACATCCCTTGTGCTTAGTATAATATTTCTAGCACGTGGTAGATGACAAGTAAATGACCCTGCGTGGTGTGATGGCAAGTTCTAGGAAAGGAGTGAGCTCTGAAGAATGAAAGATAAGTGTATTCCGAGTCCTTTTCTCATTTGCAAATTAAGGAGAAAATATTTGCTTTTTGTGAAAAATAATAGGGACAAGTAGATTTCGTGAGGGGTTTAGGGGTAGAGTTGGGCGAGGGTTTGCAAGAAGGAGAGGCTTTGTTAGAAAACAGCAGAGTGGAGTCTGACCAGGAGTCAACTCGCTCTCACTCAGTTTCAAGAGGCTTTAGTTAGTGTAGTTGGAATTAGGGGAGGCGAGGAAAGTCATCATTTTTCTGTAGGGTGTATGATGCTATGTCAGGGATGGATCTAAGAATCACTCACTTTCATAGAAGTGTTGGTCTTGTCACCAGGACCATATCTCTAGTGTCAGCCTGGACCAGGATAGGAGATTGCTTGTTCAGATGGTTCCCAGGAACACTGGCCTTGAAGCATTCCAAAGGTGTGGGGAGGGTTTTTTTTTTTCCCCTTCTGTGATCATGCAGTTTGTTCCCTGGTCTGCTTTTTCTCACTAGTTGTCTCCCAAAATGTCTGTGGTATCAGAGTAATGAGGATTCCTTCCCACATTTTGCTCTTCCTTTCAAGAGCTAGACAGAAATATAATAGTATCTATAGTCTGAGTCCTATTTTGGTACATTCTGTGGACATGCAGGAGATGAAGATTACTTTTACACAAGGATAATAAAGTAAGGAATTATTAAGGGTTTAGCCTTCAGACTTAATCTCAAAGGGTAAATTTTGATGTTCAAAAATGAGAGAACAAAGGAGAAAAAACCCTTTCCCCAGTATTCAGGTGGGGAAATGCTGAAATCTAAAAAATAGAGACTGGATTATATAGTGTCAATTTTGGACAAGAGTGACGTAAAAATGAAAATAATATCTTAGAATCCAATGTTAAAGCCTTGTCATTTGGGACTTTGTTTAGAAAACTCTGGGAAGTAAGGTTGTGATTGAAGCAGTGCTTCAAAAAGATTAAGCTGTTGCTAGTCTGCCATATGTTCTGAAGGAACTCATGCCAGCTAAGACTGGTCATTTCTTTAGGAGATGTGCAATTGACAAAAGGTTGCAAATAAAGAGTGTGAATAAGGAAGGATTTAAATTGCTGCAAAGAGAAATCCGCAGCATTTAGACTTGCTTATGATATGGGTGAATAAGGGCAAATGGAAGCGTTAAAGGTGATGGTGAAAACATCAGAAAAAAAAAAGAAACAGCAAGGAAATTTACCAGATTTAAAGTATAAAATAATGTTCGGTATTATAGAGTTGATCTTAGGTGTTTGTCAACTACTCAGATTATTAGGACTGGTGGGAGGTTATTACCTTTCTGAAGACTTGACAATTCAAACTGGGTGTGATTGTGAAATTTCTGTTGTGGAAAGTACAGAAATTTTTAAAAAGGGCTAAGAAAGAATGTTTAGGATTGGGAGGAGGAATTGGAGACATGGGAGATAGAAAACAAAAAAAGAAGCAACAAGGGAAACCATTTTGGGGGGACAGGTGTGGTCAGTGACTGTTGCTGAGAGATGGAATTAAAGGGGTCAGCTTGATCCTTAAAAAATAAACAAGACGGGTTCAGCATGAGATTTTAAAATATTTTAATATTTTCTTTAGGGCAAGTGGAAAAATAAGGAACGGATTCTCATCTTTTCTTCCAGAGGAATAAATTTCAGAACAAGACACTTGATGCAGGACTTGAGAACACTGATGCCTCATTCTAAAGCAGGTACTTTTATATCATAAATTTTTAAAATTTGTGTTTATAGACTTGCCCATTTATATATTTAAAATTATTTATTTTCTCTTTGTTCATATTGGTCAGCTAAAGGACCTCAGAAGTTTATCCATTCCAAGTGCCAGTTTTTTCAGTTAACTTTTTGTTGGAAATTCTTCATGGAATTCATTAGATATTTTCTTTACTACTTAAAATAGATATTCTAATATTATTGAAAATTCTTTCTCCCTTTTTTTTTTTAATTTTTGTAGAGACAGAGTCTCATTTTATCACCCTTGGTAGAGTGCTGTGGCATCACAGCTCACAGCAACCTCCAACTCCTGGGCTTAGGTGATTCTCTTGCCTCAGCCTCCCGAGTAGCAGGGACGACAGGCACCCGCCACAATCAGCTATTTTTTGTTGCAGTTTGGCCAGGGCTGGGTTCGAACCTGCCACTCTTGGTGTATGGGGTCAGTGCCCTACCCACTGAGCCACAAGCTCCAAGCTCCGCCCTCTTTTTCTCTTTTTTACTAGGACTTTAATGAGGTATGATTTACATACAGAAAAGCTGCTGCATTTTAAATGTGTATATCAAAAAATTAGTGTACTTGGGATAAAGTAAAAACTTCCTTTAAGTTGGACTCAGCCTGTTTGTGAATACTAGGGTTTTTTATTTGTTTGTTTGGTTTTCCTTTTTTTTTTTTAGAAGTGGGTTACCTTCAGGCAAGTGAACAATGTCTAGTCTTAAAATTAAAATGGTAGCAATGTGCAGCCATTGTGTGGGGAAGTGATTTAGGTTTTAATTCTAGGTAATAACTATTTACGTGTTTTCTTTTTCTATGATACTCCAAAACCAATTTTCAAAATCAGTTTTCTTTGACAACTACGATTCAAAATTGAAAGATACTTTCATCTATTAGTTTCTTACATGAATATTTTCTGAAAGTGGGCTCTTTCAAAATAACATAGCCGTTGCTTTGTGAGAATTTTTCCATTTTTGAAAGGGATTCATAGAATATACCTCTGAATATTCATAAAATATTCATAAAGTCTTAGACATATTGCTTAAACATAGTTCTTGAGGATTATTTTTTACTTATTTTCTTTACATTTAAAAAGATTTAAGATTTATTAAAAGGTTGAGTGTTTTCAGGTCTACTCATTTGGAAAGTTAATAAAGTCTCTTTTAAACTGAAGAGTATAAAAACTTTAAAGGTAATTGCTAGGCAGCATGTCTGAGTTGATTGAAATAATTTTAAAATTACATTTTGTTTACTTTTTCTTTTTATAGATACTAAAATGGATCGTAAAGATAAATTATTTGTGATTAATGAGGTAATTTCAGAATACTCACTGTCTGTATTCATGGTTTCATGCTTTAAGTATATATTGTTTCTCGTTAATTTCTGTGTATTATCCCAAGCATATTGAAAGTTCCTGAGGACATGGTTATATCTAATTTTTTTCTCCCATAATGTCTAATATTGGCTACTGTTAAAATAATTGTTAATCAACATATATAAAATAAAATATAAAATTCATTATATGTAGGGAAAAACCCCATTGTAAAAAGCATTTTTCTAGTATTAAAAGAGATGCATGTGGAATTTCCTTTTAAAGGATTATAAACTGCTAAATAGGTTATATTTCCAAAGTAGTTGAAGACACTAAACTTATATTTCAAAGCAAATTATTCAAAATTTAGAAGAATTATTTTTAAGATGATACTCTTTCACTATTAGAAACGCTTCTTTTATTCATTCATTTAGCACACATTTTGTTTTGTTTTGTTGTGTTTAGATATAGGGTCCTGCTCTGTCACCTGGGCTTTTATGCTGAGGCATTATCATAGCTTACTGCAATTTCATACTCCTAGGCTCAAGCCATCCTCCTGCTTTAGCTTCCAAGTAGCTGAATACGTATTTCAGGCACATGCCACCACACCCAGCTAGTTTTTTGGGGTTTGTTTTTTTGTTTTAGAAACAAGGTCTTGCTCTTGCTCAAGTTGCTCTCCAGCTTTTAGCCTCCTAAAGGCTTACAGGCCTCAGCCACCATGCCTGGCATTTTTTACAAATTTTTGAACCCTGGTATAAAATGGCATTATTCTATGTACTGTGGAAATAGTGTTTAACAGAACAGTGTCACTGTGGTTATGGAGCTTACATCCTTGCCATAAGCAAGGTTTATAATTTCAAGTGAAGACGGAGAAATAAAGCAGGGTTTTCAACAACGGAGGCTGGACTGGAGAAGCCTTTCCTAAGGGATGATATTCATCCCTTAATATTCGAGCAAAGCCCCAAGTGTAAAATAAGGTAGAAAAGCAACGTAGGTGGAGAAAATGGCAAGGCCCAGAAGTGGTGTGAACTTTCCATTTTTGTGTGGATTCCAAGACCAGAAACAAAAGCACTGGACCTGAGGGTTGTTTGT